GGCGGCATATAAATAAAATAAAACTTAAACTTAAACTTAAACTTAAGGGACTCTCTCACAGAGCAAATGAGCTACTTTGCTGCTCTTGGCAAAAGGAAAGCTCTATTTTCTTTTCATTGGACCACTTTGCTGGGAATGAAGGGGGGAAAAAGGATAATCTAAAGGGAGAGAGAGAGAGAAAAGTATCAAAAAAGATAAAGGAAGAGCCAAAGAGCCAACAATGGTTTTTTAATATATACTGCTACCTATTCTGCACTTCAAACCCCTCCATAGACAGATGCAAACAGTATAGCTTCAAGGCAATGTGTATTTTTATATTACCCCCTCCCAAAAGCTTTAAAGACGTTTAAAACTCTTTCGAGTCCTCTTTGCAACAGTACAAGTAGTCCTCAACTTACAACCAAAATTTCCGTTGCTAAGCAAGACAGTTAAGTGACTTCTGCCCCATTTTACAAACCTTTCTTGCCAGTTGTCAAGTGAATCACTGCAGTTGTGAGTTTGGTTAACACGGTTGTTAAGCGAATCGGGCTTCTCCGTTGACTTGGCTTGTCAGAAGTTTGCAAAAGGGGATGCCATCACCCCTGGAGACACCGAAACCGTCATAAGTACATGCCAGTTGCCAAGCGTATCCATTTTGATTACGCGATTACAGGGAAGCTGCAACAGTTGTAAGCGTGAAAAACGGCCATAAGCCACTTTGTCCAGTTCTGTTGTAACTTTGAATGGTCACTAAAGGAATGGTTGTAAGTTGAGGATTACCTGCATATGCCAGTGTTGTCATACACTTCCTAGCTCTTCTGGAGGGTACAGCATATGCCATTGTGGTACATTCTAATTCTAAATTATCTCTGGGATTTTAGAATAGAATAGGAAGAGAGAATAGAAAAGAGAATTTTTTATTGGCCAAGAGTGATTGGACACACAAGGAATTTGTCTCCCATGCACAAGCTCTCAGTGTACATACCAACAACATTTACACAAGTGATAAATCATAGATCATAAATCAGAATAGAGTAGAGTAGAACAGAACAGAACCAATATGGAATGGAATGAGCTGGAAGGGACCTTAAGGGTCTTCTAGTCCAGCCCTCTGTTCAAGCAATAGCAATAGCAATAGCAGTTAAGACTTATATA